TACATTTGGAACCAAAAAAATACAAATTAGAAAAATTATTTCCTATATCAACAACAAAAAATTACTGAAACTCCAGGACTCTTTAGAAGTCTAGCTTTCTCCCCTGTACCACTTGGAATGCACTTTATTGGCTGACAAACCTTTGATAAAATCAGAAGTCTGAGAAATAGCTGGCAGGATTTGATATTTTAAATTAAATTTCTCTTTATTCAATTGTCTCTGAATAGTGCTGTGATTTCCAAATGCCAGGTAGTTTGGTGTACAAATATGCATACCACAGAAATATACAGTTTAAAAAAAAGTAAGAAGCTGGCTTTACCTGATAACATCAAGAAAAAAGGTAATTCTGATTCGAAAAAAGGTAATTCTCTTCTGGGCTTCTCCAGAAGAGAGGGTTTCATTGGCATGACGCTCATAGGATGACCTGTCATTTTTGTTTTAGAACCACAGATGGGTGACAGTGACTGACTTCTTAGAGCAATTTTGCCTGGTGTCTGGATCCTGTGGGAATTTATTAGCCTGCTTTGTGGCCCTTGGCCAACCCTGGTGGGACATCTAGAGAAGAACTCAATTCTGCTTTTCCCAGAATAATTGTCGTCTAACTCGGCAGCACTGAAGTGTCACAGGCGCCTCTGTGTCCCCCAGAGTCCAATGATATGTGGACCCAAGGCCAGCGAGGGTCATGTTTCTGGGAATACAGTGTTGGTTCTTAGAATTTATATACTTTTTTTCTCATGAACTTATAAAAATGTTTAAAAACAAACTCAACAACTCTGATTTTAAGAGGGAATGAACATATGCCCCGCCACTTTCCTCTAGAAGCATTTTAAGCATTTAGCTTTCAAAAAACAATCATTTCTTTTCGATGACCATAATTTCAAATACCCTGCCTACTGGGCCAGTGGTGTCTCATAAATAGCAACTGATTTCAATAACTCACCCTTAGAATGCTGGTGCTTGCATAAGCCCTAGTTTAAAACTGGATGAAGTGATATGCAGCAAAGGGGGGCATTTATTTGAGAGATTAGATCTAAACGCAGACACTAACAGCCATGTGTCTTCTGCTCTTAAGAGGGTTTACTGTGAAAGAGCCGCACAGAATGTTCAACATGCCTCTCAGAAGCAAAATGACCTTCAAAGTTCTTTAACCTCATAACTGCAAATAGGAAAATGGTCCCACATATGTTAGTCCACCCCCTTTCAAAGTCAATCATGTGTTTTTGACATCTCAGATGTGACTCTTGCTATCAGGCTAGAATTTAGGATGTGTGATCATTCTCAGCTGTCCTACAATGCCTGCTTCTTGCAAGAAGTTGGCACTTTCTGGAATAGCTACACCCTGGCTTATTTTAAAGAACTATTTGTCATTCAGATTGGTTTTCCTATGGTTAAAATAAGTACTTCTTGTGAAAATTAAACAGTCAATGTAAAGCCTTTATATGTGTTATCACTAACAATCATACTAGATATATTTTGAAGTACAAAGTTTGACATGCTCTAGAATGAAAACCCAAATGTGTCTTACAAAACATGTTCCTAACAAGGTATGCTTTATATTACCAATGCAGAAACTATGTTTTTTTCCTCTCTAAAAAACAGGATGTGTCAACATAATAAATGTTCTAAGATTTAAGTGGCAATGCTCAGATTCCCAGTCTTACCAGTTCTTCCCAGTCTTACTCACTCTGGCCTCCTAGAAGACTAAGGGGAATATGCTGTACTTACATGTCCATGGAACCTTCCTTCCGCCTAGAATCTCAAGGGTTCTGCAGATTCACTACAGCACAACATTCCGGTCAGGAAGAGAGGCTTGACACATTATTAAGGGGAAACTCATGGAAAGAGAAATGTTTAAGGTCCTGCAAAAAGTCAGAAACTGTGATGATGGTTTTCGTTAATATTCTAGTGCCTGTATTTAAATGATGCAGTGGATTTGGGATGATATACATAAGGCACTTAATGTAACATAGGAACACAGGAAATGATTGTCACTCTTGAGCTGGCAATAAAAACCAGCTTCATGGATGCCCTGCCTAGAAATTAAGCTAAGGATAAAGGAAGAGGCAGAGTCCTAAAAACTAAACAAAAACTGCCTCCCTAACACCTCATAACCAGCGGACCAACCAATCAAACCACTGCCAACACAGCTAAGCCAATAAATAACACTCAGATTGAAAGTGTGCCCTATGTTAGGGAAACTGGTGTCCGGAGGTCTAACTCTTCCTTCTGTCACACTGAGATCACTTCCTTGGCCCCAATCTGAAAGGTGGCACAGACAGCCCCCTGGTGGAGAGACAGGGAAAGGAAATTCCTCTCTGTCTAGGGAGCTGGTTAGTCCTCCCACCGACTTCCCATCTCCCTCAGAGTGAGGTCAGACTTTGCTGTGGCTATTGTTTTGGAGAATTTCCACCCTCTTCTATAAAGTGGGACTGTATGATCCAAAATGAGACCTATGCTGCCAGTGCCCAGTTGAAGTCATAGATGCTTTTACTGCATGTCTGACATGCCTCTTACAAGGTTTTGGGGAACTCTAAATAGTCCTAGGATGACCAGAAGATATAGTCATGTTATTTATGTCTTTAGTTATCAACTCCAAATAGTGGCTCTGCTAAGAGTGCCACCTGTCCAACAGGAAATGGAAAGAAAACACTTCTCATTCCTGCATGCCACAAACCACTAGACAACTGGAAATACTTCTGGGTCATTACCATCCTAGGATACTTTTGAGCCGATGATCTCAAACTGACTACCTGTGTGTTCCACGCCTTTCCTCTAATTCATGCCGTTCTTTAAATGCTATGTTAAGAATGCAAAGCTATAAAAATGATCTTTTTTCCTGCTGCACCGTAAGAAGCCTTTTTTGGTTGTTCTATTAGAAAAGAATTCAAAAATGCAAGCATTCAACAGATTTCCTTTGCAGGGAACAAGTCATACAAACAACTGTGTTATATAATGAATAGATTGCTTTTTTCTTTTATCCTGTATTAATCTTAATTGATTTCCCAAAAAGGCAAATAAGAGACCAAGCTACATCCTGTGGTTGTAACCTCTAGGTAAATTTCCGCCAAAAGCAATGAAAGATTTTTCCAGAGAAAAAGCAGAAGAATCAGCCCCATTGTTCTGTGGCTGACTTAATTCTCCTTTTTATGTTTTAGAAATACCTAAGGCTTATAGTTTTACAATGTATGGAGAAACAGATATGCTAACAATGAAATTGCTGTGGGAGCCATATAGAGAAATATCAGAGGAGTTACTTAGATCAGAATAGGTCATACAATGAAGATATTTTAAAATATGGACATTGAACCGATAAAGAAGATGGTAATATTTTAATAGGATAGTGAAAAATATAGCAGATTGACAGTGACAGCAGAAAAAGAACAGGAATACAGATATTCTCAGAGGATTAAAATGGTGCTGTGCACCCTCAAGCCAGGCAAGTTTATCTGAGAGGTCTCTAAACATATCTCTTGCATAGAGTAGATGATTTTCCTTGGAGCTGTCATAAATACTTTATACTTCTCTACATTAATTCATGTCAAATATTTTCCATGGTTGGTCAGACTCAGACTTAAAATAGATCTAAGAAAGGTCTTCAGGTTTACTTTCAGTACCATTATTCACTTCATAGCCAGCTGGGTGACGACATGGTGTGTGGCCAATTCAAGTTTACAAGGTAACCTTGCCTGAATTATCCTGGTCCATCAAATACAAATAATAAAGTGAAGGTGCGAGAATAGAATTGCAAGGAACGTGGGAGAAGCAGTTGTCAAAAAGCAAAACAAACACAAGCAAAAGAATCTGTGAGGTCACTCAGAAATGATAACATAAGTTGTGTGTTCTCACCCTACAGCCTCCACACACATGGGGTTCCTCGTGCTTCACAATCAGCCCCTGTAATCAGTAACCCTTCAGGTCCCAGTCATGTGGCTTCTCCAGGTAAAAGAATAGACATACCTTTATGTGCATCCTGCGTTTTACATATTACTTCATTATCCTGTATACTCTACCACTTGCCTCAGCTGAGGAAAACAAAGTTATGCTTTCATGGGCAACTGGAGATGTACTCACTTAGTTCCTTAAGTAACTGGGGACGGAGGGTGGGAATCAATCTTTAAAGATAATTATTCTTCTTTCCTTATCCAATTTAATTCATTATTATTATTATTATTATTACTGAGACAGGGTCTCACTATGTTGCCCAGGCTGGTCTCTAACTCCCGGCCTCAAGCAGTCCTCCCACCTCGGCCTCCCAAAGTGCTGGGATTCCAGGTATGGACCACCATGCCCAACCCATTTACTTGAAATAAGTCTTCTGAAATGTTAATATATGTAAAAACATCTGGCAAAGAACCTAATACATTGTAAGTGCTCAGTAATTACTAAGACCCTCTTTCTTACCCACTTCTTACTAAACTATATACATTCCAACAATCCTCCAAGTACCTCCTCTGTGATACCAAACAGGTGGCTGAGATTGACAGACCAGAGCTGCTCCCTGTCCTCAATAGATTTCTTATTCCTTTAATACTAATAATAGAGAAAGGCACTACCTAAAAAATTTCAGTCAATATAGGTTATATCTTCACTACATTTGAATCTTTCACCATAGGAGCACAGCTGCTGTGTTACACAAAGGCTAATTCCTAATGTTTAATAACACTGATCACTGTCTTTCTTGTGGCCATTACATAAATTCTAAGTATCCTGCTTACTTAATAAAAAGGTACATGTCTATTTTGAAGTGCTCCTGGATTTTTTTAAGTGTGCAAAGAAGATAAATATATTTTAGGTCAATCTGAGTTGGATTTTTCACTCATTAAAAACATTTTACTCCTTGGACCCAGATTGGGAGATGACATATCTGAAATTAAGTAAGTTGAGGACTTTGCTAGGCATTCTCAGGGACTCAAGTAACACTGCAAACAATTCATTTCAGGCAAAGTGGACACTCAACTTCAGCTACAAGATTACTCTTCCACAACAGATGGTTTCCACACCTGAATTGTGACACCACTTTTCTTGGCTGAGAACTTTGGCCTTGGTGCCACAAAATAAGATGAAGAGGCTGATTCCTGCTTTGGCGAGGTGGGAATGGCCACAGGCACTGGGGATGCGCTGACTGGTGAGGAGGCCTCTACAAAGAAGGATGGGGGAGAGGTATAGGCTGGTACCGAGTACACTGACGAGGCCTGCACATTCATAGGTGAGGCAGCATTCACTGGCCGAGGAGGAAGAGCTTGCTTCATGGCCAGGGCTGAATTGACCTTGACTGATGACTTTTGAGGGAGGCCATCCTTTGCATCTGGAGGTTGGAAAGTAAACAAGGATGCATTGAGCTGATACGGTTGGTGCTTCATGACATCTAGTGCATTGAGCGGTTTCTTCCCCTTTTTCTTGCCGACTTTGGAAGCTTGTGCGGCTGATGGCTGAGACTTGAGAGCAGCTAGTGGGTAGGAGGGGGAGTGGATAGGATTATAAGCCACAGGAGGAGGTGCTCTGACATTGGAGGAGTACTTCCAACTGGCTGGGAGAGATGGAGTGGGGGACTGAGCTCGAGCAGCGTGGGCCTGCACCGTGTCTGAATCGACCACATATTTCTCCATTCTGGACTGCCTTTTAGCAAAGAGCTGAGCTCCTCTCCCACTCATTCCTGGAAGCTCATTGGATGGTCCCACTGCACCAGGCTGAGCAGCATTGACTGTTGGTGTGGGAACTGTTGGTTTGGGTGTGTAATTCTGACTGGCTACTGCTGCTTGTGGTCCTTTGAAGGGACCAGCCAGGTTTAAAGCGCTTGCAGGCCGGGCAGGAGGGTAAGAAGGCTGGGCTATTTTGATGGAGGAGACAATAGTGCCCTTTGATGGGCCAGATGTGGGGAAGGCCAGAGGTTGGGTGGGAGCCACTCCTGGAGACCAGACTGGGGAAACTGGAGTTACTGGTTGGGAGGATGAGGACTTGACTGCAGGTTTTGGAGCAACAGGAGGTGGGGTCTTTTGTTTGGCAGAGGTGCTTTGCATGAAATTGCAAGCCTCTGCTCCCAAGCTGAGGTAGTCTTCTTCCGGTCCGGAATCACCTCCAGCTCCAGTGCCCCGTTTGCCTTCTGAATTTTGAAGGAGTGACAAGAGTTCAGGATTTGGGCTTACTTTGGGCTCTTTAAAAGTAAACATGGGTTTTGTCGTGCTTCTCCTTTTGGCTTCCTGCAATATTCCTGTTCTTTTTGCTGGCACTGAGATCCTCTCATCTCTGGAAGCTATTCGCTCAGATGAATCGTAAAAGGCTGGCTGGGACCATGGGGCAGGCTGAGGCCATGGAGGGGGCTGTGCTGGGCCAGCAATCGGACTTGATACCCCTCTGGAGAAGGCATCAGGGGGAGGAGTGACTGCAGAGTAAGGTGGAGGTGCAGGAAAGTCAGCAATGGGACTCGTCATGTTTCGGGTTGGCGAGAAGGGGGTGGCTGGCTGGTTCACAGACCCTGGGAAGGGTTTGGCTGTTCTATTCATGGGAACCATCCTCTGGATGTTTGCTGTCTCAGATGCCCCACTGAAGCCATTCTGTTGGGGCACATGGCCAAGACCATGACTCACCTCGATGTAGCTTTTGCTCACAGAGCTCTGCGTTCTCACCGACTCTTCCTCCTTTCTTTGGTAAGAAGTCATGGTTCTCAGGCCATCTGTCTGGGCAGCATCTTGTTCTCTGCTTGGCATTCCACCTGCCTTGTCCTCTTCTTTTTGGGCTGTGATCTGATCCATTCTCTCCCTCCTCTTGGCAAACATGAGGGCTCCCTTGCCTGTGGTGTCTGGTAACATCTCCATCTTGTCCCCTCTGTTCAGTTTCTTTTCAATGTCCACCAGTCCAGAATCCCAGTCAAAGTTCACAACTTGTGTGCTGTCGTCAATGTCAGACAGTAACTCTTCATCCACCTCTGACTCACTTGCACCAAGAAATGCTACTTCACTTGTATCCTCCTTGTCACCGTCTTCCTCCTCGTCTGCCTCTCGCTCAAGCTCGCCAGTACCGTAGCTAACTAGGGTGTATTTCCTGGCCCTCCGACGTCGCTTCTTAAACATCAACACCCCCTTGGAGTTGGGGTTGGGAGCATCTGTTAGAAGAAGGGCAATGCTTTTGCATTTAGATTTTGCTTCCTTCACTTGTTTTTCCGACAGGCTTTCACTCCTCCTGAGCCCTAGGGAAAGTAAAAAAAAAATTATATTGAGCTGATGAGTTCAGGGAAGATACCATAGCAGCTCAGAAATGAACTCTCCTGGGGGAAAATAAATATGTAAAAACTTACAATTGGGTACTGAATTTTGAAGGAATCCAGCTCATTTCTCTTTCTTATTTCTCTTAACTTTTTTTCTTCTACAATAATATATATACTCTCTATATAACACTCAACAATGCCATATTCTATTTGTTTATATAAAAACATTTTGTATATGCTGATTAGAATATATGTTTCATACACTTGTTTCTCTAGAGATGTTTCCACTTTAATAATAAAAACTGGCTATTACATGCCAATTAATAGGATAAAATTAGAATTAAGAAGAACATAATCTAAAAACATAATATTTTCTGAAAAACAAGATAAGACCTACCTCATACTTCTATATTTTAAAATGAAATGTCAGCATAAAACTGTTTCCAGGTATCTTAAAAAGGGACGAGTGTCCCAAGAAGATGTTTTAAACTTTTCTAAGTGTTTTAATGTAATGGATTTAGCTATTGAGGTTTTCTTCTTTCTCTTTTATCTTTTTTTAACCCCGACAACTTCCCCAAATCTTTTCATTCACAGCTACTAGATTAATGTAAATTAAAAACACAGAATTAATCACTGAGGGTACTGAATCAATAATAGTTATAACTCAAAAAATGGCATTATTGTAAATACATAAAGAAACTCTAGCTACAAAGTTTTCTAGACAGATTTGTTTGTAAATGTATTGCTATTTTGAAAATACAATGTTACTTTAATTGAAGCAAGAATAAGGGTAAATCTTGAAGAAATGTAAAATTGACTTGTGACCCTTTTAACTGTGCAAAAACTGATGCAGAAATTAAGTCATTTAAAACAAGACTATGATGCTTATAAAATAAAAAATTTTTTAATTTTCTTTATTACCATTATAAAAATAAATTAGCAACAAATTTATAGCAAGTAAACATATAGCATCTATAATTTATAATTTATAGTTAATTATATCATGTTTTCAACGATAATGAGTGTCCCCTAAATTTTTTAATTCCTTAAAATAGTTAAGTGAAAAATTAAGAAAAACGTTGTGACTATTTTATGATTGAAAATTCGCTCTTTTTGTCTCTGGAAAAAAGTAAGACTTAATGGTTACTTTTTTGAAAATAAAATATAATCTGAGTAAATAATTTATAATAAGATTACAGGCGTTTCCTGGTGATCAAAGTTTGGTTATTACTAAATACAATTCCTTTTTTTGACTAGTGTTATACAACTTATTAAACTGACAGTCACAGTTGCACAGTTGCTGCTAACTTCACTGCCAACATGTAAAGTATGTGAATGGTGTCTCAATATGCTTGTTTAATATGCTATAAATGTGAAGATGGCCTACAGATGCTTAAAGTATAAGGAATGATTAACAGCACTTGCCAATAAAGCTACAAATGGTTATGCTAAAAATATACTTTGAAAGAAATAAATAGGTTAGAAGACTTAATATCATACTTTGAATAACCGAATGCATTGCCGTTGTTTATCATTTATAGTCAAGTGCCTTTGCCTGTCAGCCTTTACATCCTCAAATAATATTCCAAAATTAGTTTTAAAAAAATACATGAAAGAAAACAGCAGAAATCGTAACACCTGACTGTAATTCTTATCCCTATTCTCCTTTCTGTCTTCACTACTCTGGGTAAAACAAAATGCCATATGAAGCATTGAATTTAAATATATTTTATGTTTGGGGACCTTTAAATGCCTCCACATGGCACTGGAGACTGACATCTGTGTCTAGAAGGTAGATGAAACACTTTGCAGTCTAATGAAGACTTACAAAACGGAGAGGATCATGTAACTGCTCAGTATACACATGTCCTTGTCTGTCAAACTCACTTCTGCAAGCATCATCAAGCTGCACAATGACTTTTTTCAAAACCAGGATATGTTTTTGATATTAGGAGTAGAGCTTTTATTTTAAAGACACCTCTCAGTAGCAGACTCAACAGTTTTTGACATTTAAACGGAGTCCACATGACTTCAAGTGCTTTCTTATGTTATTTTACCAAGAAATATTTCAACTCTGTGAATCAAACTGAATAGGTAATTGACAATATTATTTTCTTTAACAGTTCCTGTGCCTTTGGGAATAAAAGGAAATTCATGAAAAATGTTTCAATCTATATGAAGTTCAAACTTATTGTTTCCCATTTAGAAACTGGTATTCTCCACAATGTCACATTTGTGATTTTGTGCATTAATCAAATATTTCTTAAGCCAGTAGGAAACATAAGAAAAACGTTGCTGAAAAATTCATGCAAGCAAAGAAGTAGCAAAATGCCCTGAACTCCCAAGCCCCTTCTGATAGCCCAGGCGGGACTTACGTGCATGCCGCGCCCGGTGCTTGTGAGGTCTGCTGTGATCCTTTTCTGATCGTGGATCTTCTCCCTGCTCTGTGCCTTCTGATGAGACGGCAAAGAATACCAGAGAAGGAGGTGCTTCTGACTGCCCTCCTTCCACTGGAGAATCCACACACCCCTTTCCTGCCTGAAGCCTGCACCCTTCTGTCTTCTGCCTGTCAGAGCAGTCGAGGATCACTTCCACCTGGGGCAGTCCCGCAGCTCCTGCTTCACTTTCCTGGATCACTCTCAACTCTCTGCCACTGGAGATCTGGATTATCTTCTTGCTGGACCTCAGGAAAGGGTCTGCTTTCTCATTGGTAGGGATCGAGTTTATGTGGACAATCCTGTCTTGTGACAAGCTAGGGTCTGGGTCAGGTGACTCAGATTTTTCAGCTCCCGGGAGAGCCACTAAAGGGCCACTTGTGCCCTTATGTCTCTCCTGGGAAAGGGAGAGTTGCAGCTCAACCACAGGGCCGGGCTGTTCTACTTCTGCCTTCTCCCTTAAGATCAGCTCTTCTGCCGTGCATCCTCTTTGGGAGTCAGGCATTTGGGGAGCCCTTTGGTAGCTCAGGCCTGTTTCTTCCTTCAAGTTCCCTGCACAATCGGGACTACTTCTTTGGTCCTCAGCTAGGGGAACTTCACTCTTGACAGGCGCAAGGAAGAACTCTGTGCACTGGGTCTTTGTGGCTGGTCGAATCTGCAGGGTGGTGCTTTCCACATACCCTCCATGTGTGAGATGCTCGTGGTTTTTGTTTTCATTTTCAGACATCAAAGCCTCACTCATTCCACTGGATGGTCTGCACACAGAAAAATCATTCCAGACACTTAAATCAGACTATGTTACACCTGCCAAAGAACTTCCTGACACTTTTGTGATGTCTAATACATGATATAGTCAAAATATTTTTTTCTAAATGTCAATTGCAACATATTTGAAAACAGAAGGTGGCAACATGTTCATATTGCAACTTAAAGAGATATCAAATAAACTTGTTAAAAGTGCAACAAAACTGTTACACAAGATTGTGAAACTTGAATCCATCCTAAATTCAGCTTTTATTTTTAAAAAGCACAGGTTGTGGCTACATGGATCCTGTTAGTACTTGGAATCTGGGTATCTCATATAATGGGTTTGCTAGAATGTGACAAAGCATTTCAATGTCTTATTGACTACGTTTTGATCTAACATTATGAAGTCACATAGTCACATGTCCAGCAGCTTTAGATCAATCTTAACTTACAGATAACTCAAGTAATACTTTTAGAGGTTGTGCTTTCTTGAAAGGAATGAAATAGAAGCTGTTTTTTAAGCCCCAGTGAGCATGTGTTTTGTAATAAGTGGACCCAGCCCAGTACTCTTGTGTAAAGAGAAATCTTTTCCATGCTGCAATGAATCATTAAGTCATGGGGTATTTATAATCTGAGATGTCTCCCTTTCTTCTATTTGAACCTGTTTCTTGGAGCATTCTCTTTTTAGAATACCTGAGGCCAAACTGTTCCTTTATCTCTCAGCTAAGGAGCCTGGAGCTGTACACCACAGTTCTTTGATTTTCACCTTAACTGTTCTCAGTTGTTTGTGCAAATTTGGGTTTGCGAGAAGTAATGTCAGTTTAGTAAGTACATTGCTTCTTTCTGAAACTCTAATTGTTATTAGAAGTATTATTCACAGAACAGCTGTAGGAAATGTCTTCATTTTTTGTATTTGTAAATTTTTTATTTTAGAAGCAGCATGATTATCTTTGCCCCCTTCCTCCTTCCTTAAAAGACAGTTATGACGAATGCGGGGAACATCAGCTGAAGTGCGTGAGCTTCTACCTGTATTCTACTCAAAGGAATTTACCGCAGAATTTATGGTAGTGGAATTTCAGACCAATGCTCAAAATACTTACTCCTTACTTTGCTTTCAACTGCATTTGGCAAAACAAAACAAAACATAACAAAAACAAACTAACTGTTAAACAAAATGCAGCTTTCTCTATATGCAAGTAATTGGAAAAGGTTCCTGGTAATACAGTATTTATACAACATTATAATATAGTATTTAAAAATGCATGATGTTAGCAAATTAGATCATTATTATGTAGAAAATGTTACATATACTGTTAAACTGAATTTAAGGGTATCAAAAGGTCAGAGAGTTTTAATTTAGGAAGTTCCTGTGATGAAATTAGATTAAATCACTTTGAATTATGTTAGCAATCGATTGTGAAGCTGAGAAGAGGATAGCTTCAATTCATGCCAGCTTTGTAGACTGAAATAGAGACAAATGGCCAGATAAATATTAACATTTATCAGCAGTTGAAGTAAATGTATAGACATGAGTAAAAATCATAAAAGCATGCGAGAGTAAAGCTTTATGCCTTAAAACATTCATTTCCCTTCAGTCTACATAGGTACTCATCAAGTCCACAATTTATGTGTCAGAATTACAGAATTTTAAAAATCTTATCATTTGAACAAAATTTAAGATAATAGATATGGAATGTTAAAGGAGTTATTTTAAAATAGTCTCACCTAGCTATCTCTGGGCAATAGTTCAGGAAAAGTAAAAACACTTGTCTTCCACTGACAGATGACAGTGATATGAGTGAGAGAAATATTTACTGCGGGAAACAATATTCAGATATTCCAAGTGGTGGTCATGGTGGTGATGATGATGATTGCTTTTGACTTGATTTTCAATTGAGATTTCATTTTGAATCCTACTAATTATTTATTTTGTAAAGTTTTTATTTTATAAATTAATAATGTATTTTATAAACTTATTATCTCTTCATAATATAAAGGAAGGACCTTAAGACCTTAAACACTGGATGTGATGAGTGAATATTTAGATAGAAGATTATAAGAATAATTCTGGATATCCTTTATTGTCTCAAGATTTTGACCACAGTGAGTTCATTTTTATCCCAGAACAGTATCATACCGAATGATCAGCAGAGAGGCGACTGTACGCAGTGTTTCTGCAAAGTTGAAGAAAAACCTGGAGGGCTTTAAGGTTCATCTTGAGATATCCTCTGACATCTTCCTAAAATCTGCTCTCCAGGAAACCAGAGCTTTCCTTTCTGGATTCTTTATAATGCAACACTCAGGGCTTCTGTTGCAAAATCAGTATGGACTGTACTGTGATTTGTACACCATAAAAATGTCAATGCTGAAGTTTTTTTATTAGTGTTCTCATTGTTTCTTTCTTTTTTTATGTTTAAAGGTTTCTTCTATATTGTTAAACAACTACATGGGGATGGTGGTATTTGAAGAGACTGAATTACCAAATGACTTGTGTTGGTAGTGCAAAAACCTTATTCTAATCATCTACTTTTGTCCATCCCCAAATATTGGTTTTACTGGAGAAATCTGGCTACTTGTAAGTTTTTGTTGTTTCTCTTTTCCATCTCTTACACATCCTCTTTTAATGAAAAATTGTATAGTTGAATGGTCTAATATTTAAACATTTTTAATTCATGTGTTCATCTGGTAATTACAACTGAGTGATTCTGATCCATCACAAAATCATGACCTATCAAAGAAATATTAAGTTATGCTCAATATGCTGAGCTTTTCAAGGAAAGAGCATAAAATCCCTAAGATTTTCAACCAAATGCCTAAAACAATGATTTTCAACTTAATTCTCAATTAACCAGAAAGTATAGTTGAATAGAACTATTTTTCAAACACAGTGGTGTTTCTGTTTAACTAGACTAACCTTCTACAAAGAACCCCTGATTTCTCTATAAATGACAAGTTACATATGTACTAGAAGCTGTAATCATTCCCATGTAGCTTCAAGAGAAAATACATATTCCAGCAAATTTATTGTACCTTTTGATGAGCATTTGGAGAGAGTCTGTTATGCTTTCCATGAGCTTGATGACTTCAGGGTAGGTAAGATCTGCACAAGGGTTGCCATTGATGGAAACCACTTCATCTCCCTCACAGAGCCCAGACCCTGAGGCTTTGCTCTGATTTCGAATCTGAGTAAAAAAAGGAGACATAGTAGAATGAAATAATCAGATCTGTCAAGTGTAACACCAGTCCTGTTTCTTAATTCACCTGTTAGCCTGTAAGAACATTTAAACACTTCTTACCACGCTAGGAACACAAACACAGACACACACTTTATCATGTACCATAATATCAACATTTAATTCATAGCATTGTAAGTAAACAGGAAAAAAGAAAGTAAATCAATGTAAAGAAATAAAAAACAGAGAATGAGAAAAGATGTTAGAGTTTACATTGATTAGACATTAAAAATAATTATTCAAGCCAGACACAGCAGCTGACGCCTATAATCCCAGCAGTTTGGGAGGCTGAGTCAGGCAGATCTCCGGAGCTCAGCAATTCAAGACCAACCTGGTCAATATGGCAAGACGCTTTCTCTAAAAAAAAAAAAAAATGCAAAAATTAGCCCTGCATGGTGGTGCATGCCTGTGATCCTAGCCACACAGGAGGCTGAAGTGGGAGGACTGCTTGAGTCCAGGAGGTGAAGGTTGCATTGAGCCAAGATCACACCACTGCACTCCAGCCTGGAGGACACAGTGAGATCCTGTCTCAAAACATCATTATTGGCCAGGGATGGTGGCTCATGCCTGTAATTCCAGCACTTTGGGAGGCCGAGGCCAAGGCAGGCAGATCACAAGGTCAGATGTTCGAGACAAACCTGGCCAACATGGTGAAACCCCGTATCTACTAAAAATACAAAGAAATTAGCCAGGCAGGGTGGCACATACCTGTAATCCCAGCTACTCAGGAGGCTGAGGCAAGAGAATCACTTGAACCCAGAGGCGGAGGTTGCAGTGAGCCCAGATTGTGCCACTGCATTCCAGCCTGGGTGACAGAGTGAGACTCTGTCTCAATAAAACAACAACAAAAAATTATGATGATGATTATTCCACATTGTAAGGTTTTACTCCAGTGAGAAAGTGACCTCTTGCATTAAAATAAATTTTAAAATCCTTCCCATTGCCAAGACGAATGAAACGCCAAGACTATAAGGAGGAGGTATATGACAGGGCAACTTGTTTGAGGATAAAGCTGTACAGCTACATGGACTGAAAAAACCATCCCAGTATAGTGGGGCACCAGGGAGCCTGGCTATTAGGGAGTATGTCAAAGAGAGAAATGCTTCATTGAAATCGGCTACTCCAGGAATGGTGCTAAGCAAACTTTAGCAGAAACTAAAGAAAAAAGAGATTATTTTGCAGAAAGTAAAAGCATCCTTGCCATAAGCACTGCATCATATTCTGGTGAAGAAAGATGTGGAACAACAACTGAATAAAAAGCTAGAAGGAAACGTCAGACCCTGGAAGAAGAGAAACCCAGAGGAGTAGAATAATGGCAGAGGGTTCCCATCAGCTCCTAAGTGAGGAATAACTAGGGATTGATATCCTGTATAATGATGATTATGGTAAAGTGCTGTGCTGGCTATTCTCTCTCTTCTCTTCCAGGTCCATTCTCTACCCTCTCCTGTGTTGCAGGGAAGACTGGCCTCTAGAGACCACATTGGCTGGGCACCCTTGCACTCTGGCTCCTGGCTCCTGGTTGGATTTGGTCAACAGGAAGCACCAGTAAGAGATCAAAGAGCAAGCGGAACAAAAGATTAGGTCTGTGCTCTCGCTGGTGGACCTGCTGGGCCATGGTTTGGCAGTGGTTCCGTTCTTCAGTCTAGCTCCTGTCAGTCTGCCCCTCATCATCACCTTAACTCTTGTTAGGTTTCAACAACACACATTATCTTTTTGTACCTTTGGGCCTACAGGTGATAACAGCTTCTTGCTCTTAATCTCTGGGTTTCTGGGTGCTTCATTATTTGCTGGTTCCCTTAAAACTACTTTTATTCTCTGCATTACATTCTCTTGAATTCTTCTTTGAGCATGTCATCTATTTCCTGCTGGAAACCTAAATGATACTAATGTGCTTAGATTTCATTTTATGAGTTCAATAGTTTTCAATGAACCATACATGACGACCCTATGGTCTCATATTTAAGAATGCTTTATGATGTTTTTGTAGATTTTTTCTACCAAGCATTATTCCTTTTTATTAAAATGAAGCTTCTGAGTCTAGAGAGGTGAAAATGAGGTAAGCAGCACTTCCTGAAGGATGTTTTCATTACTAGGCTTATTTCTGACTGGGCACAAAATGTATTTCAATTTATCTCTAAAAGCTGCCCACCAATTCCTGCTAAAGTCTTAAATTATAATTCATATATTAACGGATATAGGTTTAAAGTTTACATTTACAAGTGCATTTTAAATGATGCTCTTGAATGCAAAATATTACCTTTATGAGTCAAAGCAATGGCATTATTGAAATTTGAAGTGATTCAATTAGTTTTGTTCTGGCAGGGTCTATCCTTCTAATGTCATAAATTATAATCTATAGAAAGGCTGCTCTTTTTCTGACAAATCAATATCATTACCTCTTGGGGAAGAATATACTAATTTATTGGAAAATATTAAATGAATTCAATATTTCAAGATTATAAGGAAGTAACAAAAGTAATGAGAAAGAGAATTTAACCTAATTTTGAAAATATTCACTTAGCTAATAAATATATTTGTTTCGTTTTGTCTTTCATGAAATATTTAAAATAAAAGATCACAAGAAATTTTTTAATAAGTAAAGGGTTAGAGGGTGTCAGGGTTAGAGTCATTCACATTTCAGTTATTGAAATTTATTTATAATAAAAATTATGTAGGTAACAAAGCATATTTTTGAGGCATAAAGTCATTCATTCAATGGAGTCAGAGATACCAGGATTTGAACAGAAAATTCATACTTCGGAGGACCAAAGAGGTTTTAGGTTGATAAAACAGAGGTGTCGTTATACTCTGTACCCCAGCAAGGCCTACTTGTAGGTAGAAGTTCTTTTTATCAGCCATGAGTTGTCTGTATTTTAAACTGGGATTGCAGAAGAAGATGAAAATTGATTCTTTTAAAATAAATAATCTCCCAACTTAATAGAGCTGTCTGTTATCTAAACATGTGTTGCTTGGTAGGAAAAGTGCAGTTCATCATCCTGCTTGTCACATTGGAGCTTTTAATGGTATCTAAGTAAGACAGTGCATCATGGTAAGAGTCATTAGCATTCCTTCAGGGAATACATTCTGAGATCAACATTCACAGTCAACCGCTGAGATTGCGTTTCACTGACCTTCATCGGAACAGCAAGAAATCTTTTTCCCTCAAGAACCTTGTTATGTATGATAGCTTTGCTTGTCACTTAAATTTTTCTGAAGGACTATGCTGTCTCCATTTTTTACAGAACTATTCAACCAAATAAAGATGGTATGACAATGAAATAAATAAAAATGGTATGACAGGGTCTCATAGTAGTATCAAGAAGGATAAACATGTATTAGTGTACCTAAGATCCTCACCTTCTATTGTGTGTAATTATGCAATTTTATAATTTGTATAATTGTACATGTTTATGTGAGTAAAGATTCTAATACTTGGAAGTGTTCTTATTTGTGAAAATGAAAGACACTGCGCATCACAAAACTAAGTTTAGACCACAAATCATTAGTACTAATGATATCAATTCTTTATCAGTGAACTTATCAGCCAGTCTCCTTAAGCCATTAGCCTTGGATTCATAAAATACATGTAGTAGTGGGAAAGAGTACCAACTGTGAAGGAACAAGATACAGGTTTCAATAGTGTTCCTCCAATGCTTACTACCTGTCTGAACTTAGAAGAGTTACGTTACCATCCTGAGCTTTAGGTTTCTAAAGTGTAAATGGTGCTAATGAATTTTATTAGTCTAGATGTTTAATCAGGATTAGAAATAATGTGTGTAAAGTTCTATGATGTACCTACAGCTCAAAGAGGTGCTCAAGAAGGGACTGGTGAATTCAAATGTGTTGGCTTCCTACACACACATACAAACACATCAACACACATGAAGGAAACATGACAAGTGAAAAGAGAAGCTATAAAACATGTATGAAACATCTGCATTTATTTTCCACTTTTATCCAGATATTTGACATCATCTCTTCATAATATAATGTTCTATCTCACTCCATAATTACACATTTCATAACTGAAAGGTGGAAGAAGACAAGCTTGTTTATCACATTTCCAGCACAAGTCATAATACAAATGACTAAATATTAGTGGTTTGTTTTCCTTGAGCATTTACTATGCCGTGTCTTTTACATCCTTATATTATTTATCTCTACAAAAATATCTATTAGAAATATGTGTTCTCACTTATATATGTAGAGTTGGACTGCCATTACCTTCATTTTATAGGTAAGAAAATGTTGAATCAGAAAATGTAGGTACTTTGCAAAGCTAGAACCAGAATTTGAATCCAGGAAATGTGACCCCAGAACTTGTGTTTTTACCCACCACACAGACTGCCTCTGTGAACTGCCTAAACAGACAGTCTAAATTCTCTATCGTGGAGCCCTAGAGTGAGGAGAGAAAAAGGAGAGGACAGCAGTGTATCAGTGCCAGAAAGATTGCCTGGTTAGTCCATAAACCAGTGGTTGGGAAAGACCTGTTTTATTTTGTTTCATTTTCCTTCTTCTTCTTCTATTATTCTAGAGTTACATGTAAAATGTTTTTAAAGATTAAAAATAGATGATATTATGGCTCAATGTGTTACAAATTCAAAATAGAGTATAATTATCTGTCATAAACTGTGACTTGACACAGAATAGCTGTATGGACACATGATGTAATTCCTTTCCTTTGAAAACACTCCTTTAGAGACTGCGTTCCACATATATTAGACCTTGAGTGAGTTCTTACCCTGAAAATATTGTATTCCTTTTTATTGTCTCCCAATTTAATCAGATCACATAACTAAGAGATATGGGTAATGTCAATAGTTACCAAATGCAGTACTATATTTCATTGCTTACCTCCTTCTTGTTTTGTTAATTTTTATTTTATGTTTGGGGGTACATGTGAAGGTTTGTTACAGAGGTAAACACGTGTCACAAGGGTTTGTTATACA